GAGAGAAAGGAAAAGAACTGGCAGGAGATGAAGGTCTAGTTATTGCTCTAACAATAACTTGAGGGAGGGAGTCCCAGAATGTTATTCTTTCTCGTTTTACTCTCATTCCACAGATCATTCACTGTACCGTAAAAAAATTATTTTCTTACAAAAACAAAAGATACTTTATGGTCATTCATTGATTAGACATGTTTTTAATAAACATGTCTTGGCACATGGAAGGCTGTACTAATCTACAGGGATTAAGAGTGTATATCATGCTCTGGAAAATAAGAAAGAAAATAAGTGATTTCTGGCATTCAAAGTTAAGCTGGCATATAGTCAAAGGTTTTAAAAGATACTTTTTCGGGCTTCCCTGGTGGTGCAGTAGTTGAGAGTCCGCCTGCTGATGCAGGGGACACGGGTTCGTGCCCCGGTCCGGGAAGATCCCACATGCCGCAGAGCGGCTGGGCCCGTGAGCCATGGCCGCTGAGCCTGCGCATCTGGAGCCTGTGCTCTGCAACAGGAGAGGCCACAGCAGTGAGAGGCCCGCGTACCGCAAAAAATTAAAAACAAAAAACTTTTCCTAAAGCATTAGTTGCCTGCTCCACAAGGCAAATAACCTGCCTTATTAACAAGTTCAATTCAAGGTTAAGATTCAGAAACAAATTCCTAAGGTTTGGCTCATGGTTGTGTCTGACCTAACTGACTGGAAGCTTTCCAGACGCACTTAAAAACAAAACGAAAAAACCCCCAAAACTCTCTCCTTCAAGTGTGGGTCCAAAAAGTACAAAGAATAGTTGATTTGTTTATATTTAAAAGGATGAGTTCCTGCCACTTCCTCTTCGGTCCTGGTTCCACCTAAAATATTCTATTCTAAAGGGAAGTGGATAAAAAGAGATGCTACACCATTAACTATTTTATAAACAATGATCAGGGTAGGACACAAACTTAATAAATATTCTGTTTTACTTATTGTTTGCCACAAAGAATACTTTTAATAAATTGGATCTCACGACATCAGGAAAGAAGGAAGATTCCCACAATCTGCTGGCTTTAGCAGTTAGTTTCTCCCTTAAAAGATGAACTGGTTTTGACTGAAGTGTAAACAAACTGATGACACAATCTTTAAAAAATTCTACTTAACAAAAGACAATCTGATTATTTCCAGATAAACTAAATAGAATTTGCAACTACTGAACTCTGGCATTATAACTAAAATTTATTAGACAATATTTATATTGGTTCAAAACTGCTCTGCCAAGGTCCTTCCTTCTGCAGGCTATGGCTGAAAATCTCAGAGCAGAGTTTCTTTCCTGCTGCTCCCTCTAATATCTAGGGACAGTGAGCAAAACCTCTACCTGGAAGGTTTCCCTGCTAATTCAGCAGAAACAGAGCCAGCCAATCTCATCAGGTCCCTTCTGCATTTACCTGAAGGTCAATGTAGCCATCGTCTGTACTGGAGAGCCTTGAGTATTTCACTTTACTACTGGGGATTCCAGTAGCCAGGTTGGTACGAGACGGCATCATAACACGCTGACACAGCTACAGTCTGAAAACAAAGAAAAGTATTATTGTCTGCAGGCTACAACAATGTGTTTGTTATACGTATTGGAGTTCTGGGCTGCAATGTCATACTAGCAACTGGCAATTTAGGCTCCATTGCTCTTAAAACCTGATATTCCTTTGACAAGTGAAAGCATTCTCATTATGCATCTACTCTGGTTTGTCCTGGTAGAATAAGAATCAAGACATTTGCCAAGAACCAGACCTCATGTTTATGTTGCCACCAATGTTTCTCTGCCTCCTAATTTTTCCAAAGTCACACGGCGAGTAGGTGAAAGGGTGGTGACTTAAATCCAAGTCCATCTGACATTTCAACCATTCTGCTATAGTATAGTTTTGCATGTCCCCCGTGCCTGCTTCCAGAAAAAGCAAGAGGAGCATATACTCAAGTGATTCTCTTATTTGTCAGGGAGAGAGGAGAGAGGGTGGGAAATGGAATACATTCACATCAGCATTTTGCCTATTTCCCTCTGATAGATATCATCCTTTTAATACAAAAGATCTGTAAAACTTCTTGTTGCAAATTTGGATAAGCTACTGGCTACCAGTGTTGTACCAGTGTCCTCTGATTTGCCTGACTCTCTGCTCCACCCCAAGCACTGAAAGCAGCGATTGCACTTTCCAGGTTACTTCTACAGCTACATTAAAAACAAACAAACAAAAAACCCTGAATACATACCTGGTTTTTGTTCAAAATAGTCAAAGCTGAATATAGTAATGAAATCACGGTTATTATGTCACCAGTTTAAACACAGTAGATAAGATTAAAAAACAATGACATTTAAATTGAAAAAGAGTTTGTAATTTGTGTACTTTTCCTCCATAAAATCACAAAGTTATGCGAATGAAACAAGTAAATCTATTTTGATCATGAAGATATTTGATTTCTAAAAGTGAAACATATCTTTAAAAAAAGAAAAGTATTTCAATAAGGGCAACATAAAAAAAAACATAAAACATAAAGACCGGCCTTCCTCTGGTATGACATTTTGCAAATAATCATCATAATTATAATAGCAGTTAACAATTACCTAGTATTAAGTGACGGGTACTGTTTTAAGTGCTTTATATATACTTAATACTGAATATTAATGAGCTGTTTTAAGTGGCCCGCAGTCAACCTAAACTAACTAGCATTATAAAGGAATTGGTGCTTAATGCTCATGTCCCTTTTTAGTAATTATATACTGGAGCAGAAATCAAGTATTAAAAAAATAAGAGTATGCTTACTAACATGCTTTTCTAAAAGGGTTAGATCAAATTCCGTCAAATACTATGTTTTTAGGTGTTGCGATCCCGACTACACGATAATCTAAATTTAATTCTATAAAACTTAAAGTCCAAACTACCAATAAGTGGGGGGTTTGAGAGCATTTAATCACCTCTGATTTGTATTAGTCTTAAAAAAATAGTTTACATACTCTGACATTAACTTCATACACATCAAAACATAAAAAAGCGCAGGGCGTGAAGGAGACGGGAGACAAATGCTTATTGGTAGCAAAGAGTAATAATTCTAAAAGAGGGGAAAGGAAAAACGTAAATCAATGTTTGCCGGGTACCAGCCCAAGTTCCCAACAGGCTTTTTTACCAGCCTCACCGCAACCCCAAAATATCCTCAGCACTTGAATGTTGCAAGAATTTTGAAAGCATCAGCAAAGCACTTAGCACAGTGCCTTGCACTATGCGCCTCTACAAACTACTTCCCTGCCCGCCTCCAGACCAAGCCAACAAGAGAAATAAGGACCAACATGATTTTAGAAGGAAAACAAAATCCAGTTTCTGGAAAAAGGCCAGCCGTGCCCCGGGAGGGCGAACGCTCCACACCGAGGACTCGGGGCTTGATTTCGGCAGGGAGCGTAGTCTGGACCGCGCCGCGAACCTGAGTCGAGCTCTTCCGCTCCCTCCCCGCCCCAAGCACGCCTTACCGGAGCCCGGGCCAGACAGCCCGCGCGCAGACAGATAGCTCACGGTTTGCAGCAGGTAAGCCGGGGACCTCACGGTACGCCCCCAGACCACTGCGTCGCCGCCCCAGACCAGCTGGGAGCCGAAAATGGCTTGTCGCAAGGCGGCGCGCCGGACGTGGCGTCACCGGGAGCGACGCCTCCTTGTTCCACTCTCCGTCCGGTTTCGGGCGTGTGCCCGGTGTGCTAGGGCCCCGTGGGGTTGCGGGAGGCGTGGGCTGGGCTGGCTGCAGACCACCTCCTACGCGGCGGGCGAGTGCCTAAGTAACCGGGCTGCGTGGGTCACAGGTCCAGGGCTAGCCGGCTACGTGTTTCTTTCCGGCCCCTAGGGTAGTGTAGGGAGCTCAGTGGCGCCTCGAGAGGTGGAAGCCGAGCCGGCGAAGCTCCCTGAAGGCCGGGGCTGTCAGGTCTCCCTATGCCCAGGGAAGGCTGCCTTCCCGGGCCGCGCCGCAGTCTCTGCCGCCCTATACCCCACCCGCTACTCTCGAGTAGCCCCACATTCTTGCGCTTCAGTTTCCCCGCTCCTCATCTTCAGGCCTTACCCTGGCAAGAGGTCTGGCCACAAGGGACATTTTGCAACACGTGAAACTTTTTAAAATGTCGAGCTTTATTAAGTATAATTTACATATGATAAAGTACAATTGGATTAGTTTTGACAGGTACATATAGTCTTGGAGCCATCATCACAACGTAGATAAAATATTTTCATCACTCCAGAAATTTCCATCAGGCCCCTTTGCAGCCAATATCCTTCCCCAACTCCAGGCACACAGAAAGGTAATGAATAGTTACCTACTGGATACAGTGAGTTCTACCGTCACTGCAAGTACGACAGAAATCTGTCATTTAATCCACCAAACACAAAATACACCGGAAAAAGAGGACTACAATAAAGGAATTCTCAATATGCAGCATACCAACTTGTGACCTTGTAGCACAATTACTGCTGGGCCTTTTTCACTTTCTTGGTTGAATCCAACATCCATGGAATTAAGTCACCTTCATCCTTTAAGGGAATAAGTCCCCACAAAAGGCTACTTACGCTAGAGAAATTATTTTTGCACATACATACTCCTTGGGACCTATCAGATCTACTAAAACTTCCAAGACTCCTGTACAAGGCTCCCTAGGCTAATGAAACACTGCCCTGTAACCATGCTAGTCTTATAAAGCTGACAGAACTTTGGGTACATGAAACTTCTGTAGAGTTAGTTTCTGCAAGCAAAAATGACAAAGTATTATATATTTGTTCTACTCTCCCCTTTTCATTTCTTGAGCTCAAGTCAATACCAAAATAAGTTTGGCAAATGAATCCCCCAAAATACTTTGTCACCTGCTGTATCTGAAATACTTTTTATCACTGTATCTAATGTCATATCAACCTGCTCTAGACTGAAACAATAAGCTCATTTACATGAGCTGCTTGAATTGTGAATTCTCTAGGATACTTGCAACCATCATGGTCCAAATGAAGGCACTGTCCTGTGATGCTTGAAATTCAAATAACTTTTATTTAAATTGAAAACAATACTTAAAACTGCATTTAGAGTCAAAACCCTTTTGTTTATAAAAATTATAAGTATTCCTAGGTAAGGCAAAGTTATTACTCAGTTAACAAGACCAGATTTGACTTTGGACTTTACTTTTTGAACAAACTATAGAGAATGGAGAAAAGAAAAAGTTATTTACAGAAAACAATATCTACATATGTACTCAGAGGTACAAAGACAAAACAGACTTAAGTATGTGGTAGCATCTCAGAAGCAGTTCTCAAAGAGCTTAGTTTTATTTCCTTGAATTTTAAGAATGTCTAAGATCCTTCTTCATCCTCGATCTTGGGAGCCAAATAGTACTTTAAATGTCCCATATCAGCAATTTTATACTCTACGACTGAAAGAAAACAGGAATATAATTAATTACTGAGAAGTACCACATACACTACCTACAAAACAAGATTCAACAAGTTTATTATCTTACCAAGGGGTACATCTGCAGACATACTGAGTGTTACTGTAGGAGAGAGTGGAGTGGCTTTTGTAAAGAAGTTCAGGTACCTCAGTGCAAAAGTTAGCTGAACTGGTTCATTCATGTCTATGGTAACCTTAGGGAGAAAACAAAAGATTCATCATACTGAAAAACATCAAGAAAGCTGCAACCCATTCATTTCTAATATACATTGACAAATGACTTAGTTTCTTCAACAAATAAAATTGTAATAGAGGGAAAATGAAGAGAGAACCAATGGACTAAAAGAAATTTAAGGAGCGTATCTCAATGAACTGTAATGTATGGACCTTATTAAAATCTTGATTCAAACAAACTGAAATAACCAAGGAAGTAGGAACACTGAAAAATTCCTTAATATAATTTTCTTAGATGTCATAAAATGTTTACACTACAAATCAATTAAAATATTTATGAGTGAATTTTTTCTTTCTTTCTGTCTTTTTTTTTTTTTTTTTTTTTTTTGGTCCTTTTATCTCCAGTCTACGTAGAAGGTGACAGCTAATGAATGTTCATTAAATGGATGAAGGTATGTTTATTAAGACTCAAGATTTGCTGTGATGGATTCTCACATTATGATAGTTCATTGTTTCAAATGCGAGTTTGCTCTGAGGTGCTTTATCTGCATTTCATGTAAACAGGTGGGGTGAGGGCTCTGAACTGCTTAACTGGCATCGGCAGGCGGACTCCCAACCACTGCGCCACCAGGGAAGCCCGAATTTTTTCTTTCTTTAAAAATTTCTAGCTGCACGGCTTTAGGGATGTTAGTTCCCTGATGAGGGATCGAACCCACGCCCTCGTCAGTGAAAGTGTGGAGTCCTAACCACTGGACCGCCAGAGAATTCCCTATGGGTTAAGTAACATTTGAGAGAAGAACAAAAATCAAGATTGGCAGGGGAGTGAAATGTAATTTAGGAGAAAAGAATCAGCCTCTGGAGTTTTGTTACTAATATATATTTGTTACTAATATATGTATTTTTAAACTCTTTATTTAAAAGTTAATATAAGGATTACATAAGAGCTCACAACAGCTAGACTTTACCCCCAACTAGATCCTACAGGGTTGCACAATTATTTGGTAAAAACATAGTAAGTACCTCCAGAAAGCTAAAGCTGGCCTCCCAAGCCTATCCTTAAGAGTATGTGTAGGTTTGATACACAAACCCATTGTTCTAGTTTATAAAGGGTGCACTAAATTTACATTCCCTTCTCACAAATTTAAGTTAGATGGCATCTATAATATCACTTGCAGATTTCAAAAGTTTCAATTCTCACATATTAGTTACTTGGAAATGCAAATTCTGTCTTTCTTTAGAGCTCTCTTTAATTTTAGCAATTACCTTGCTAAAGACTGAATGTTTGTGCCCCCCACCCCAATTCACATTAAAACCAAATTCACAATATGGTGGTACTGGAGGTGGGGGCTTTGGGAGGTGCTTAGCATTAGGAAGGCAGATCCCTCATGAATGGGATTAATGCCCTTATAAAAGAGACCCCAGAGTACTCCCTTGCCCCTTCCACCAGGTAAGAAGGCTGCTGTCTGTGAACCAAGAAGCAGGCCCTCGTCAGACACCAAATCTGCCAGCTTCCGAGTCTCCAAAACTGTGAATAATAAACTTTGGTTGTTTATAAGCCACTCAGTCTATGGTATTTTGTTATAGAAGCCTTAGCAGACTAAGATATAACCTAATATTCTTCTTCCAAGGTATTTTGTTTACTTAAAAACTACTTACAGCCTCCTCTTCTTTATCAACATTACTCGTTTGTGACAACTTAATATTTCCATTTCCAAGTTCTCCACTTGCAGAAAATTTCACTCCATCTTTTGCACAGGAAATTACAACAGCATCTCCAATATGACTGAGATCTCGGCATATACGTGCAAATTCACCAGAAGGCATCTTTACTACACAGCTGTACTCTTGTTCCTGTAAAACAAAGAATTTTTTTTTTTTTTTGCGGTACGCGGACCTCTCACTGCTGTGGCCTCTCCCGCTGCGGAGCACAGGCTCCAGATGAGCAGGCTCAGCGGCCGTGGCTCACAGGCCCAGCTGCTCCGCGCCATGAGGGATCCTCCCGGACCGGGGCACGAACCCGCGTCCCCTGCATCGGCAGGCGGACTCTCAACCACTGCGCCACCAGGGAAGCCCCAAAACAAAGAAATTTAAATGTCATGGAAATAAAAGATTTGGCACCCTCACTTTCTGAAGACTCAGCATCTAAACAAGAACTCAGAATTCAAGATTTTCTGATGACTTTGAAATATCACTCATTGTGTAATTTCTTAACACTCTAACCACTCAAAAAATAAATGCAGATATAAAACAAGTATGCTTTAAGAATAACCATACTAAGAAAACAAATTAGAGCTTAAACTTTGAACAGTAAATGCACTATCCCGGGAACAAGAGCCTCCACCTAATCACCCTACAGTAGGGCTAAATCAAGAGGCCATTAGGGTATGTCATACAGTGATGATGGCGCAAACAGGTCTGCTTTCCAAAACAAGAGAATATGATGTTAGGCATTTTAAACATCCAAACACCTCTTCTCACTTTTGATGTTGATAAACCTAACCATAATGAATTTCTGCTAAAACAGCTTTAAGATCTTCTCTCAATAAAAACCAAGCACTCGGGTTTCCCTGGTGGCACAGTGGTTAAGAATCTGCCTGCCAATGCAGGGGACACAGGTTCAAACCCTGGTCCGGGAAGAACCCACATGCCGTGGAGCAACTAAGTTCGTGCGCCACAACTACTGAGCCTGCACTCTAGAGCCCATGAGCCACAACTACTGAACCCAATTACCACAACTACTGAAGCCTGCACACCTAGAGCCCATGCTCCACAACAAGAGAAGCCGCCTCAATGAGAAGCCTGCGCACCGCAATGAAGAGTAGCGCCCCCTCTCCCCAGCTAGAGAAAAGCCCACACGCAGCAATGAAGACCCAACACAACCAAAAGTAAATTAAAGATCTACAAAAAAACAAAAAAAATCAAGCACTCTAGGAATAATAATTTAAAAAAAGATGCAGAGGTTAATGTAAATATTCACTCAGCAGAAATAAATTCAAACCAATGAGCCACTGTAGAACACCATAAATTAATAAAATGACAAATACGTCAGTCTTAAACACCCCACTCTGGAACATGCATGAGCACATATACAGAAAAAGTTCTGTTAGGAAATAGGCTTTAAATTATTATATTAATATATCTTATGTAACTTTCAAGACTGTATAGTATGCTCAATCAGAAACTTTGATACTCACTGGAATTCCAAGTTGTTCAACATCTAAATCCATTAACTTCATTTCATAGTCTGAAACCTTTTCTTGATCTACCAAAAGAAACCAAATGTTGAAGAAGAATACGTAAGTTTACAAATGTCAGGTATACTTTACAGCCATCACAAACATTATCTTAAATTTCTCTCAGCCTTGGGAAATACTGACACTACATTTTAATTTCTTCTAGCATAAGTCAGTAGAAGGGTGCGACTTACTTGGAGCTTCAAATACAAGTGCCAAGGTGTCCGCATTATCTTCAGCCCTTAGTGTAATGATGTCTTCATTGCCAGCACATTTCAGTATTTTGGACATGCTAGAACACAGGAGAACAAAGGGTTTAAAATCAACGAATTAAAACCAGGAGGTACCACTTTTAACCATTAGACCATCTGCCGAATTGGTGAGTTAGAGAAATGTAAGGGGGATGTGTAAGCCGGTCCAGCCATTTGGAATGCAATCTGGTAGTATTTATACTTAAACTAAACAGCCCCCCCACCAAGAGCAATTCACTTCTGGATATAAATAAAACAGCAGTATTTTATGAACTGCAAATCCCTTTGGTGGGTGAAGTTAATTATTGGGCCAACAATCTCTAAAAACGATTTAATAAACCTGTTAAAACACACTGCATGTAGTAGGGGTAGATATTTCTCACAAGCTTTAAGATTTAAACATGTGTATGTACTAGACAAGTAGTGGTCAAAAGTTGAAAGCACTGCCCTGGGATAAATTTTTCTCAAACCGGGATCTTGGGGTGCTCAGCGCAACTCTGTAGTAAAAGAAATACTCCTGTCGCTCGTTAGGGCGAATGAACTAGGACACATTATAAAGCAGTTAAAGTCAATCAGGACCAAGGTTTCTCATCCGAGGCCGCCTGCACTTAATGACCAAAGAGCTCTGCAACAGTCTTTTCCTGGCACCGCAAAGAAGTCCATCATTTTCCCGCCACCACCCGCTTTGTGACTTTGGCGCGGAAAGAGCCGGTTCGCGCTGCAGCAAGCGCGGGCTTTCCGAACCGCGCGTTCCGCTGGGTCCCGCCCCACTGGTGCCGCAGGCCAATGAGAAGGCGCAGATGGCCCACTCCAGCCAATGAGGGCCCGGCCCGGAGGCGCTCCCGCCAAGAGCCAGAGGGGGTGGATCAGGGCCCGGCTATCCGCTGCTTAGGGGCTCACCTGGTGAGGTTCACGCCCATGGCCAAGTTGCGGTCGCAGCGGTACGTGTCGAAGCCCTCGGAGCGCAGGGTGAGCTGCACCAAAGAGACATGGGACGAGTCCATGCTCTGCAGGTTCACGCCGCTCGAGCTGATGTCCCAGCAGGCCTCGTTGATGAGGTCCTTAAGCGCCTCAAGCACCTTCTTCAAGATGGAGCCCTGGACCAGGCGCGCCTCGAACATGGTGGCGGAGTCGCAACGACACGGCTGCTGGCGGAAGGAAGGAGGAAGGTATAGCCGGCTTAGGCTTCAGAAGATGAGAGCGAGCGGCGGAACTAACGAACGCTTGAGACGGAGGAACCCCACAACCAGCCCGCCGCGCCTGCAGCAGTTTAATACTGCCGCGTCTACGAGCGCGCGCTTCGACCCCGCGCCCCTCGCGGGGACGTCACCCCGCTGCCCCGCCTGCTGCCTGGGCGGAGAGACGGAAGAGCCAATCGTGTCCCTGTTCCGCACGAAGCCCGCCCCACCCCTAACATCTATTGGAGGGTGCGGACTGGGGACGAGGCATGAGCGCTGCGCCTTCTGAGGACCGGCTGATAGGCGACCGGCGGGAATCCCCGCCTTTTTGTCACGTTCCGGAACCGGACGTTAGAAACGTCCGGCGTGTGTGCGTGTGCGTGTGTGTGTGTCGGGGAGGGCGGTCGTTGAACTGCGTCTTCGTGGTGCTTCATCTCCCTCTTGAGTGGTAGGGAATTTCCGGCCTCGAAAGTGAAACGCAAATCCAGCCTGCTAGGAGAAAGAGCCACCTTGTAGCCTAAAGAGTTGTCTTGACCACCAGCTCTTAAACCTCCTCCGCCACATACACACCAAACTCGTATCATTTACCGTATGCAACTTTCTAAGCTTTTTTATTTTCTCTACCAATACACTTTTTTTAAAAAAACAAATGAATTTATACCGTAGATCCTTTTGCAAAGTACTTAATAAAGCATGGGTAATTTTATGCCAGGTACATGTTTTCTATATCAGCACCTCTTAAAAAGATGGCTTAATATCCTACGTATGTAACCAACTTAAAAAGTGCTTGTAATCTGGGCAACTCCTTGAAGTATTGATGGATGGAAGAGCATACACATTAAAGTTTTGATAAATATTACTAAATTGACTTGTAAAAGATTGCAATTTACATTTCAGCCAAAACTACGAGCATGCTCATTTCGCCTAATTTTTCTTTCTATAGATATTAGCAATCTCGTTTTTAAATCTGTGCTCGTGTGGAAATTTCAGTTTGTGTATTAAAAGATTGGTGCAAGTTGGATATCGTTCATGTAGTTCTTGACCACTGTCTTATTGATTAAAAGGAGCACTTCATATATTAATAATCTTCTTATTATAAATATCCCTCCTTTGTTTCCTTTTTGCTTTGTTTACAGCATTTCTCTTTAGTTGCTTCTAATATTTTACCTTGGTCTGTAGAATTCTTTAGTTTTTCTACCGTGTATCTTGGTGTGGATTTAATTTTATTTTTCCTGTTCAGGAAATTTTGTGTTCCTCAATCAGAAGATTCATGTATTTCATCAAGTCTAGAAGATTGTCAACCATTATGGCTTCAAAAATTGCCTTTCCCCACTCTATTCTCTCCCTCTAGCACTTGTATTAGGTGTATCTAGTTCACTGAATTTTAGGTACCTTCAATTGTAAGATGCCCCATTTTATGTAGCACAAGAAAATAAAATATCAAACTATCATATGATTTATCATTTAGAATGTCTATTTTGTAATTATCAAAAGAACTTTTAGACTTTTAAAAACATTTGTATCATATATCACTCATGTGCATAATATGTACACACTATATATATATTGGTTAAAGCACTTGTAATATATCTTCACATTCAGTTTCTCACTCAGTTACTGATACTGCTGTTTTTCCATATATCATACTCTGTCATCAAGGGTGTGGATGATGCAGCATTCTTAAGAGTGCTCCTCTATTGTCTCTGGAATTTCTTCCAAGTCTCTGCCATCCATTTGTAAATTTTGATACTAGCACTTCCTTTATGTATAATCAACTATCCTTTTGCATACATCTTTATATCAAAACACAACGGTTTCATCTATTTGTAGGTATTTTCCTTTCCAGGTCCTTTTATTTATTTATTTATTTTTAAAAATATTTATTTATTCATTTATTTATGGCTGCGTTGGGTCTTCGTTGCCGCTCACGGGCTTTCTCTAGTTGTGGTGAGCTGGGCTACTCTTCATTGCGGTGCTCAGGCTTCTCATTGCAGTGGCTTCTCTTGTTGCAGAGCATGGGCTCTAGGCATGCGGGCTTCAGTAGTTGTGACTCACAGGCTCAGTGGTTGTGGCACACGGGCTTAGCTGCTCTGCAGCATGTGGGATCATCCCAGACCAGGGCTCGAACCCATGTCCCCTGCATTGGCAGGCAAATTCTTAACCACTGCACCACCAGGGAAGTCCCTCCAGGTCCTTTTACTGTCTCAGTTCCTTTGCAAAATGTGGAATGTATTTATTCCTCCAGTGAGAAACATTTGCTTCACTAATAACGAATGTATACACTACTACTCTGTTTCTGTGCTTTCTGCTTACATAATAACATTTTGGTTTAATGCCAAATCGAAGTGTTGATCTGAAGGTATTTGAAATGGCAATTAAACTCCACCCATGACTTAAGAATGGCTATGACCTGTGGTCAGGGAAGGCCTTCTGCGGAGGTAGCAGGTTACCAGAGAAACTAGCTGTTTGGAGATTGGGAGAAAGTATTCTAGGCTGAAAGAATAACATGTTTAAAAAGGACAGCATGCTTAGAAAGTGTTCAGATAGTAGTTTGTTTTAAAATTCAAAGCTTTTTTTATAAGTATTTTTCCCCAGTTTTATTGAGATGTAATTGACATACATCAGGACATAAAATAGATTGATGTGTCCGGAACACACTGAACAATGGGGAGAGTGGTGCAAGGTGAGGTTGCAAAGAGAGTCAGGGCTGAGATCTTATAGCCCTTTACAAGCCCTCTACAAGTGAAAAGGAAAGTTATCAAAAGGTCTTTGGCATGAGACAATTTCTGTGTTTTTTAAAAAAAATTAATTAATTAATTTATGGCTGTGTTGGGTCTTTGTTGCTGCTCACGGACTTTCTCTAGTTGTGGAGAGTGCGGGCTACTCTTCATTGCCGTGCGCGGGCTTCTCATCGCAGTGGCTTCCCTTGTGGCGGAGCACGGGCTCTAGGCGAGCAGGCTTCAGTAGTTGTGGCACGCAGGCTTAGTTGCTCCGCGGCATGTGGGATCTTCCCCGGCCAGGGATCGAACCCGTGTGCCCTGCATTGGCAGGTGGATTCTTAACCACTGCGCCACTGGGGAAGTCCCCAATTTCTGTTTTAAGAGGATTACTTTAACTAGTAAAGGTGCTATTTCAGTCAGTGAGAGAAAGAATGAATTAAATTATGACCAAACAATTCATTAAACTTCTAGGAAAAAGTAAAGCTATAGACTCTTCCTAATAACTGTTTACTGAAATAATTTCCAGATAGATTAAATAATTAAAATTCAAATAAATGTAAACCCAATAAGAAATGGAAAAATATTTTGGTAAATATTTAAGAGATCTTGCTGTGGGCTTCTAAACATAAAAGGAAAAAAAACCCATAAAACATAGGAATGACTACATAAGTTTTAAAACTTCAGTGTGCCTAAAAACTTGTGTTGGTTAATATACTTTGTTTCCACAACAGAGAACCCAATTCAAACTGAATAAAAGGACATTTTATGTATCTAAACAAAATCCAGAGGTCCCTGGCTTGTAGTGCCTAAGGTCCAGTCTTAGTAAATGTATGAAAAATGGTTAGCATATTAATAAGCAAAGAAACATAAATTAAAGGGAGATAAAATTTTAATCTACCAAATTAATAAAAATTGTGTTAACACCCATTTCTTAGGAAGGATATTAGGAAGTGAGTACTTTCATGACTTGAAGATGAGAGTATAAATTGGTATAATTTTTCCAGTGGGAATTTGGAAATGTGTATGAAAATCCTTGGAATTTTTTATTTAGTCTTTGACACAGAAATTCAATCTATAGGATTTTTTTTTCCCAAAGAAGTAATCAGAGTTACTTACCAAGATGAGGCATGTTTAAGAATCTTTCTTATAGAATTATTAACAATTCCCCTGAAATTGGAAATAATCTTGAGGTCTAACAATATGGTCTTTGTTAGGTTAATTATGGTAAATCTGTAAGATGGAATACTATAAAGCCTTTCAAGTACCATTCTTGGGCTTCCCTGGTGGCGCAGTGGTTGAGACTCCACCTGCTGATGCAGGGGACACTGGTTCGTGCCCCGGTCCGGGAAGATCCCACATGCTGCAGAGCGGCTAGGCCTGTGAGCCATGGGCGCTGAGCCTGCGTGTCCAGAGCCTGTGCTCCACAACAGGAGAGGCCACAACAGTGAGAGGCCCGCGTACCGCAAAAAAAAAAAAAAAAAAAAAGTACCATTCTCAAAGGGCATTTGATGTTAAAAAGTCGGGTTATGAAACAATATAAACAATAGTAACCCAACTTTCTAAAATTATTATATCTGAGTGTAAGTGCACAGAAAATAGAATAAAAAGGCAATAATATGGATGTTAACAGTAATTATCTATGGCTGATGCTACCACAAATGATCTTAATATTTTTCGTTATGCTTTTCTGCATTTCCCACAATTTCTTCATCAAAAGTATTGTTTGTCTGAAAATGTTAATGCATGCTGGGAGAGAAAAGTGCTGTGAACTATTTAATATAATTTCTGGCAAATTTCTTTACAAGGTGATATCACATATTAAACTGAGTCTCATTCCTGGCTGCACATTAGACTTATCTGGAGAGCTTAACAAAACGAAAGAAGCCTATTTCCTCTAGGTTCCATCTCTAGAGATTCTTATTTAGTTGGTCTAGGATGGGCCCTCCACTGGCATTTTTAGAAGCTCCCCAGGTAATTCTAATAAATAATTAGGACTGAAAAGTCCTGTTTCAGCATGTGTGATCAATTGATGAATATTTATGCTTAAAGCCACCTGCACCTCCATATAGACTATTGGTTTGAAAAAGTAAGACCTATGCTTTGTCAGAGAGAAGACTGGAATTATAGTTTTGATGGACTGTATAATAATCTAATAGGTCTACAAGTTTGTGGGAATGCAGGATTTGTAGTTTTGAAACTTTAAGATGTTATACAGTTCTGCCTATCCCATTCTCAATTCCATTTTGCATGTCATCTCATTAAACTGAATAAGAAGTTTTAGCTTTCTGAGAACACTTGTCAAGATAAGATCTAGAAAGGCAATATGAAGGACAAGAAAAAGAGCAGATCAAGTCTGTTTTTGTTTATGGACAATTTTTTTAAAAATGTACTGTTTAAATAATTCATTTATTGACA